ATGTGCTGATGCTTTAAATGTCAAAATTTTTTGTGAAATTATTTAAATATTTTTAATTGAATCTTAAATATGTGTTGATTCATTTATTTTAGTTCTTTCATTATTAATTATAATATTTTAATTATTAAAATGTCATGATTTTTTTCAATTATTATTATTATTATTATTTATCTTAATTAATTTCCTTTGTTGGGTGAGAAAATCCAATATTAATAACGAGGATAAAGATATGTGCACACCCGGATCCAACACCCGGGTGTGCACACTCCCCTTTGAAAAAAAAAATGCCCATCACCCACCCGGTCCAATTTATTTTTTTATGTGGGGGTGCACGCCTGGGTGTTGGATCCGGGTGTGCACCAATCAGGTCCTAATAACAAACAGGAAAAAATCAGCCCTAAGCCAAAAAAAAGAAAAAAAAAGAAAAAAAAAAGAAGGACAAATATATATGCAAAAGGGCAAGCCTCTAAACAGAATAATGTAGTCAAATAAACAAAAGAAAAGGCTTCAAAACCAAATGAAGGGTCTAAAGAACTTTAATAGTTGCTCCCTACTCATTAATTTTTGTTTTAGGCCATCGTACTCTTTCATTGTTTAATTAAAGATTTTATTTATCATGTACTTTTAGGGTATATGATAAAAAATAATAATTATGTAATTATTGTTATCTTTTATCTTAAAAAATAAAATTTATTTTTATTTTAATTATAAATGTCACCTATTAATTTTTTATTTGTTCATTTTAAAATTAAATTAAAAAGTTATTTTTTAATTTAAAATTTCATTTAAAAAAATAATTATTAATTAATAATTATTTCTTATAATGTGTCTCAAGATTATAAGATAGACAAACCCAAAATTTACTGTAGAACTTCCTTAATCAATCTATTGAAAATATTGGGCGTTAATTTGAAATGCGTTTAGGATGATGATTGGAGATGATTTCAGGCATGCAGCTGTGTGCTTCAATATTCATGAAGCAATAACTGAGCCACTGGGATGCCCAATTCCTTGCAGTTGTAAAGAAAGGACATCTCTAAACTATATGTTGAACTTAATTTGTATGAACATTATTTTGAAATAATTTAATTGTAAAATGCAATGAAGTTGTCTGTATAGATCCATTAATTATAGACCAAAATTCCACGTTTCCTTGGGATGATGAAAATTATAACAATGCTAGACCCCAATCCGCGCGTTGCGCGATTTCTTTGTATTTTTTAAAATTTATAATTAGTAAATTTTTATTAGCTAAAATTTTTTACTTATTATAAATAAAAAATATATATCAGTACCTATTCTTAAAATGAATTAGAGTTTTAATTTTAATTTATATAATTTTATTTAATTAAAATGTAATTAAAAATTTAAAAATTTATTTTTTATTAAATATTAACATTTAAATTTAAAAATTGATTATATTAAAATATGGGCCCAAGCACTTATTTGTACCCTCCATCTATTTTCTCTCTATGGTCAACACCTTACAAAATTTTTTCTCTCAATCAATACCCTTCACTTTTCTAATCTAAATTTGTAAAAAACCTAATATTTTAACAGCTCGTTACATGAATGTTAATAATCGTTAAAAAGTGCAATACATGATACTTAGAAAGTAACATTGGCATTATGTGGCGTTATTAATTCAATGTGGACCCTTTTTAGTAATGTGGCATAATTTTTTACACACATTGACACCATGTGTGTAGTGAGCCCCACTCTGTCCCTTCCTCCACACCAAAAAAAAAAAAAAAAAACCCCTAAAACAAGGAACTTTTAAAATAGTATGTCCTAAGAAGGGGAGGAAGCCAAGCCCTTTCCTAGACAATTGAAAGAAACTAGAAGAAGGGAAGAGAAAGGCATTGACCAAAAAACCAAAAAGTAAGAACCACAATGATGCAAGACCAGGTGTCACCACTGATAACCTCTTGTCCATCATCGAAAGCAAAGAAGTTGCCTCAGTATGTTACACTATTGTGGTGATGCTCTAGGTCTGGATTATGATAAGGTTGCTGATATCGATCCTCCACTTCTTCCCATACCTTCGAGTAAGAATTTGAAGACGATACCACGGCACCTGAATCCTTCCGGTTGATCGAATGAGAAGATGAAGAAGCAAATGTGGAGCTTTGATTCAGCTCTTCCATTCAAGAAAGAGAAGAAACAGATGGATCAGAGTTGAACTCCAAGAGATTGGTGAAAGAAAATCAAAAATTGCTAACCCAAGGGGTGGAATTGAAGAAATGGTACCTTGGGGCTCCTTTGGAAGTGTGTCTATGGAGAGGTAGTGGGAGATGAGGAATAGTGTCCCAAGAAGGGGATGAAGCCAAACCCTAAATCCCCAAAATGGTTGTCCCAATCTGTTTTAAAAGTTCCATATTTTAGGTTTGTCAAGGTGTGAACACAATTATATTTAAAATTATTGTAAATATTTTATACTTTAAAATATTCTCTTTGTATATTTTATACTTTAGAATATTTACTTTGTATATTTTATACTTTAGAATACTCTCTTTGTAAACACCTATATATAGGTTATTGTATATAGAGTAGTATTTAAGAAAGCAATAAACCTTTCTTCAAATTGTTCTTCTTCTTTTTTGTTTCCAACATGGTATCAGAGCTATAAGCTCTTGGTTTTTTTCTCTTATCATCGCTGTTTGGTTTTTGGAGTTGGATTTTCAATTCTATTTTAGATCTGAAACTTTGTCGTTGAGATCTCTTCTCCTATAAATTAGATTGTTTATCCTCGATTCTCAAGCCTTTTTTGAGGTATTTAGTTGGTTTATTATTTTGATCTTGGCATCTATTTCTTCATTTTTTTTTAGAGTATTTTTTCAATATTATGAGTTTTACTAATTCTATAGCGAGTTTTGAAAAGATTGTAACTCATCCTACTACTGTTATAGTTGCCAAAAAAGTGATAGACCAATCTAATGTTAACCTTGAATCCTTAAAACAGGTGATATTAAATCTTTTTAATGCTCCTACTGCCTTATCTACTACTCCAGGTACCAACCTTGGTATTTTGATTCTGGTTGTGGTAACCATATGTCTTAAATTACTGTGCATTTCTCTTCAAGGTCACCAAATAATTTCTTTCCAGATATTTATTCTACTGATGGTTCCCCTATGGATGTTAGTGACGTTGGCAATATTTCTACAAAGTCATTAACTTTCCCAAATGCCTTCTTAGTTTCAAAATGATCTTGGTCTTGAAGTAACATTTTCTACTCATGGTTGTTGTGTGTAGGATCCACAGACATGACAACTTCTTGGAACTGGTCGCAAGGTGGGGCATTTGTTTGAGCTCAACTATCTACATACTCTTGATAATAAAATGGATACACCATCATTTCCAAATGATCGATTCATCCAAACCTTGCTTTGTGTTGTTAAATTAGAGTCTCTACAAATTCCATACCAACAAATTTTGCAAGCTTGTGTTGCTACTAATGTTTTTGCTCTCCATTTGTGACACTCAAGGCTTGGACATACCTCAATTAGTAAACTTCGTCCACTTATCTCTCGTGGTTTATTAGGGTCAGTTCCAAATGAATCTTTGCATTGTGTGTCATTTCAATATGCAAAGCAACCAGCTTTATCTTTTTTGAGTAGTCACTTTCATTCTACTGTTCCTTTTGATCTTGTGCATTTTGATATTTGGGGTCCATCTCCTACACCCACCATAGGTGGTTCCAGATACTTTGTGTTATTTATTGATGATCATACTTGTTTTACCTGGATATACCTTATGAAAAATTGCTTTGAATTATCACAAATTTATATTGATTTTGCTACCATGTTCAAAACTCAATTTTCTAAAATTATCAAAGTTTTGAGAACTAACAATGCTACTTAATATCTTGGTATTAAACTTCAGTTTTTTCTAAAAGAATAGGGTACACTGACACAACAATCTTATCCTTACACTTCTGTACAAAATGGGTGAGCCGAACACAAACACAGACACATCCTTGATTCTATTCGTGCTTTGCTCATTTCATCATCTTGTCTAGAGCGATTTTGGGGGTGAAGCTGCTCTTACAGCTATTTATCTTATTAATCGCATTCCATCGTCAATCTTTAATAACCAGTCTCTATATGAGCGTTTACATGGTATTCTTCCTGCCTATAATCTTCTTAAGGTTTTTGGTTGTGCATGTTTTGTTATTCTTTGACCTGATGAACATAACAAATTATAGCCTAGAGCTTGATTATGTTGTTTTTTGGGTTATGGGATTATACAAAAATGATATCGTTGTTGGGATCCTGTGTCACAAAAACTTCGAGTTTCACGTCATGCTGTCTTTTGGGAATACACTATGTTCTCATCGATGTTAAACTTTAAGGTGTCATCCTCCCATCAACCTCCATTTTTTATTAATCCTTCTATTGAGCTATTTTCCAGTGATTCTAATGTAGGTACATCTGATGAGTTTTACAATGCCTCACCACATGCTCCAACTAGTTCTGTAGAAGATGATCTGGCTACTGGTAATGCATTAGATAATTTTGAGCCTTCTTCTACTTCCTTGTCTGTATCACTTGTTCATGTTGCATCTGAGCTTGTTGTCCCATCCTCAAGTCATCCTACTCTGATGAGAAACCCTCCCAACTAACTTTGTGATTATCATTGTTTTCATACTATTACTTCTTTACATAAGCCTCAATTCTATCAAGAGGCCTTTTTTAATCCTCTTTGGCAACAAGCTATGTAAGATGAATTACAAGCTCTTGAGAACACTCGTACATGGGATTTAGTTTATCTCCCTGCTGAAAAATTTTTAATAGGCTGCAAATGGGTGTACAAGATCAAAACAAGATCTGATGGTTCTGTGGAGTGCTATAAGGCACGCTTGGTTGCCAAGGGTTTTACACAAGAGTATGGAATAGACGATGAGGAAACATTTGCTCCAATTGCTCGTCTCACATCTGTGCACAGTTTGCTTCCTATTGCTGTTATACGGAGATGGAAATTGTTTCAAATGGATGTGAAAAATGCTTTTCTTAATGGTGACCTCGATGAAGAAGTTTATATGAAACCACCTTCTAGGCTCAACCATCTTCCAAACAAGGTATGCTGATTGTGACGTGCATTATACGGGTTGAAGCAATCCTCTCGAGCTTGGTATGCCAAGTTTAGTGCTAATATGAGTGAGTTTGGTTTTACTTCTAGTCCACATGATATAGCTTTGTTCATTCGTAAGATTGCTTGGGGTATGGTTCTTTTACTTCTTTATGTTGATGACATGATTACTATTGGAGCTGATGTCGCAACTGTTAAGGAGCTAAAACAATCTCTCAGTCAAAAATTTGAGATGAAAGATCTTGGTGTTTTGACCTATTTCTTGGGGCTTGAAGTCACCTCTTCAAATGATGGCTACCTGCTTTCTCAAGTAAAGTATGCCTCCAATCTTGTTTCTAAAGCTAAACTCAATGATGGTAAGAGTGTTTCTACACCTCTTGAGCCTAACGTGAAGCTTACACCTATGCATGGCTCTTTACTTTCTGATCCTACTCATTATCAACAATTGGTTGGTAGTTTGGTTTATCTTACCATGACACGCCTTGATATAGCATATGCAATTCACATTGTTAGTCAGTTTATGGCTGCTCTTCATTCCACTCATTGTAGTAGTACTTCTCATTATTTGCTATGTTAAGGGAACATTTTTTTATGAACTCCATTTTTCTACCAACTCCTCTCTTGTGCTTTGTGTTTACTCTAATGTTGATTTGGTAAGTGATCTTTCTGATCATCGATCTACCACTGGCTACTGTCTTTTCCTTGGTAATTCTCTTATCTCTTGGCAGAGTAAAAAACAAATTATTCCATCTCGCTCTAGTACTAAAGCTGAGTATAGAGCTCTTGGTGATACCACATCAGAACTTCTTTCATTATGGTGGCTTCTTGAAGATATGGGCATTCCTCAACCTTCTTCTACTAATTTATATTGTGATAATCAAGGTGCTATGCAAATTGCTCATAATGATGTCTTCCATGAACGCACTAAACACATTGAGGTTGATTGTCAATTTGTTCGCCATCATGTTGCACAAGGAACTGTTCAGTTGGTTTGTATTAGCTTCGTTGATCAACCAGCAGACCTTTTTACCAAGGCTCATTTTCCTAGAAGCTTTCGTACTCTTCTTTCCAAACTCAAGTTGATTTCATCACAACCACCTTGAGTTTGAGGGGGAATGTTAAGATGTGAACACAATTATATTTAGAATTATTATAAATATTTTATACTTTAAAATATTATCTTTGTATGCTTTATACTTTAGAATATTCTCTTTGTAAATACATATATATAGGTCATTGTACATATAATATTATTTAAGAAAGTATTAAACATTTCTTCAAATTATTCTTCTTTTTTGTTTCCAACAAGGTTTTTTTTTTTTCTAGGTCGGAAGGAGGCGACGCAGTGGGGTTCACTTTCTGCATGACATGTATTGTATTTTTTAATGGTTATTAATGTTTATATGACGATCCATTAAATTTGAAAAGGTGGAGGGTGTTAATCGAGGAAAAAATTTTGTAAGATGTTAATCGTAAAAAGAAAATAAATGAAGGATGCAAATAAGGGTTTTGGTCTAAAATATATAACAAGATTGATTTTAGTTTTTAAATATAAATTAAAATTTTAATTTTTTAATAGTCTAGATTGATATACATTAATTTTTTATAAATATATATTATAATATTTTTTAAATAATTTATAATTTTATACATATTAATCTATTGAAAAAATCTAAATGATAGATATAAAAAAGATTTAATCGTACAAATCTAATCAATGTACTTAAAAAAGACAATTTTTATAAATGAAAAATAAATAGTACAATTTAATACACCAACGAGCATTTTTAAAAAAATTGTTATTTTCACAGTTGAAGTTTAGGTGGGAAAACCTAAAGATGTTGACTTTAATGGCAAAAGTGTTCCTACTTTTAATTGAATTTTAAAAATAATAATTTTATAATGTGTATTTTGAAACAAATGATAGATAAATTATTTGTAATTACACTTTTAAAAATTTTGGTTATCTTTGGTTATGTGGAGTGTGCACACCCGGGTGTTGAATCCGGGTGTGCACCAATCGCGATCCTAAATTATTATCTTTTGTAATTTGTTACTGAATTAATAAATAACAAAAATTTATGAAACATTTTTATTTATTCTCTCTCTATATAATAAATT